CGAGTAACAATAAACATTCTTGCATAGATACTGGTAATAGTTAATAGCCTTTCAAAATAAGAACTGCAGTCACATCTGCTATAGTCACTGCTATCTTCATTACAGTTGCATGAGACCTTTCAAGGAACTCAAGCCTATTCATGAAGTGTCGGAAACCATCTTGTGGAGGCATGTGAACCAAATCTGTTTCAGTTTCCCAATCCCAGTAGTCGCAACGTATGCATTTGTAGTATGGACGGTTCATGTTTGCTTCGGACATCGAAATGCAAAATTCAGCCACAAATGGAGGATTGCATAGACACGGTCTTGTTGCTACCAAAGCAAGGTCACTTGAGACGGTTGGAGTGCTTGAACGGGTTCTATTCCTTGCCATTGTGAAATTGTGGTGGTGTAGGGTTTTTTTTTTTAAGAGGAAAAATTGAGGAGATAGTGTTAAAGATGAAAAATAAGGGATATGTTTGAATTATAAGATACAAGGCCTAAGACATAGCTTAAGTTGGTGAATATCTTGGAGGTAAGTCATATACTTTTTTCCCGCCATATTCTTCTAGGAGAACTCATCCATTATGTATATTTATAATATATTAAGATAAAGTAATAAAGGTAATCAAATAAAAAACATTATAAAAGGGTAAATTTGTAACTAGTGGTTTTATAAAAATATACTTGGTATGAGGTACTTGCTTTTGTCTTTTTATTTTTCTTTTAAAGTAAAAATAGTGAAAGTGTAAAAGTTTAAAGAGGATGGAAAGAGGTAAAAAAAAGTAGTTGGATTCATTTAATATGACAAGTAAATGGAAACATCAAGTTGACAAGCCTTTAACTGAGGACGAAAAGACCTAAGTTGACTTATTTCATTTTAATAAAACCGATCATCACTAACACAAACCCAAAATTTCGGACGTACTTCAATTTGAGCAAATATTACCCTTGATGAAAAGAATAATAAGAAAACCAAAAATGTTAGTAAGTTGACGAAATTTGCGAGATCATCGTTACACCCTTTATATTTCTATCTAGTCCTCAACCCAATTAAAATCCTTATAATTAAATTTCAAAACATTGTATAATTCAATTTACTTATTTTATAGTTAAAACACCCCATCACTCTACCTAATAATTAAACGCAAAAAAAACCATTCATACAGAAATATGAACCAACATATAAATTTCAACTTTAATGTATTCAATAAAATTATAAATTTGAGGAAGGCCTAAATAGGTCCGGATGTACGAAATGAACTTTAGTGACAAAAACTTTAATTACCATCGTTACACCCATAATATAGATAATTACCTCATACATGCGTAGTTTAATAATAACATTACTTAAGATAACATAAGACAAACAACAAACCCAAGTTAATATTCATCGAAATAGTCTAGATCTCTTCAACACTGTCATATGCCTCATCATCTTCCATTACATCGTTGTTATCATCTCCACTTGACGGATCATCTTCTTCGCTTTCATCTTCGGTATCATCATTTTGTTCCCATCCGTCATCTGAGGAATGAGTCTCATATTCTTCATCTTCATGATTCCATTCTTCGACAGAAGTTACCTCCTCATACGTGTCAAAATAGTAATTCCTTTCCCATACTTGCCCAGCAAAATCCAACACTATTTTGTACTCGTCTGGGTAGTCACTTTTTTGGAAGGGGTTGGTCGTACAAAGAGCCATATAGGTAGTAGGGTCATAACCATTTTTCTAAAACATCAACGCCTTGAATTGGACATATTTTGCATCATATCCAAAACCAAAATGCCGATAAGTTTCAGAAAAATCATCATGAGAGAAGCCAATCCACTCCATAGTTAAGATGGGTTGTTCAAGGTCTTTCTTCGGGTCAAAGAATTTTCTACCCAACACTAACAAACCCCAAACACTACGGTCATAGTTATGTGCTTCTATTTTTTCTTGAACCATGTGTAGCCAATCCTCCAATGGCATAAAGAACTCGAAGACCCTTCTTAGGAAACGATAAAAGTGAGGAAACATAAAGCAATTAAGTAAAGTGCGTCTTAGGTGAGCTAGGTTAAAGCTAAAGCACATATTGCAATAATTTAGGAGGTAAAAAATATAACAATAAGCCTCTTTCCTAAAGTGTTCAGCCTTCCCGAGTGACATAGGTGTTAAGAACGGGTACTCGGGATGACATGTAATACCTCTACGGCCTCCAACCCGAGATGGGTGTGGTGTCCGCGCAACATCAATTTTTGCCGTTCAAGGACATAATGAGTACCAATTAGGCGCTTAACATCATGCTGCCCTTTTTCATCCATTTGATTGAGTAAGTCCTCCAATTGTGCCATGGTCACCTCCTCTCTCCTTTGCCTAACCGTTTTCTTATTCACTTGTTTCCTACCCTTGTTTGCCATCTTTGAAGTCACCATATTGACCTGCTTCAGACAAATAACGAACCAGCATTAGCATAATTAACAATACTTGTTAAAATAATTAATAATTTTGACAATAGTATTAATTTATTTTTGGGAAAATATAATTATTCACTTGTTTCCTACCCTTGTTTGCCATCTTCGAAGTCACCATATTGACCTGCTTCAGACAAATAACGAACCAGCATTAGCATAATTAACAATACTTATTAAAATAATTAATAATTTTGACAATAGTATTAATTTATTTTTGGGAAAATAGATACCTTGGTGTGCACTGTTTTCCTTCCTAGTAGCAAAATGGGGAACACGTTTTTACTGAAATGTTTTCTTTCTTTATTTTTTTAAAAGAATTTTGAACTACTAAAATGTTTTCTACTGCCTCAACAAACTACAAGTATTATAAAATAGTAGATGTAAGGATGACACAAAAAAAGGATGTGATTTGACTATGTAAAATAATACAAGTAGTTATTATGAATTTTTTTTACCACCATAAGGGCTACTTTCGCAACCACCTATTAATTGATAAGGATGTGATAATAATAAATATTACTTTCCGTCACATTTTAATTTTGCCCGAACATTGGGTTCTTAAAATGTAATAATCGATCCATGACATTTAAATATATAATTTAACGATTTGGCCTAATTGATTTTAACGACTTTAAGACCATTAATTTTATTTGAAGTACATTTTGTGTGGGAGTGAAGTACACTGAACATTTTGTGTCTTACTACTTGGGTTGGCTGGAGCTTTTATTTTGAGAAGTGATCTCACTAGACTGTATCCTAGTAATAATCTTGGCATTTTATTATTATTATTATTATTATTATTATTATTATTATTATTATTATTATTATTATTAATTTTATATGTTTTGTTTTCCAAATGTTACCTTTAATTATATCCCCCCTTTTTTTTTATGTTCTGCTTGCATTGTTCAATTCTTTAAGATTTAACATATTCTTTGGTTTTTATTTACCCATATTTTGTCTACTCTTTTTCTTAAGGCATTGATTTATGGATTGTGGTTGTTAAATTTTCTTTTCATATTAGTTGACCTAAAAAAACAAAAATTTCATATTCATGACTTTCATTTAAGGTCCAAATACTAAAAAAAACAAAAATTTGTTTTTGGACTCCTACATATTTAGTGAAACGTTTTATAATACCGCGACAAAATAGTGCTATTTTGTCCTGTTAGTTAAGTCCGTACCTGTATTAAACTATAACTCTAGCCATAGAATAGTACACCGGTAGTAAAGTAAGAATGATATGACGATTGGTAATAAATGTTAGCACTATAACTCAATCCACCACATTTGAATCTAATGTTTTATTTAGGAGTTAATTTATAACATTAAATTAAAAATTGTAGTATGCTACATGATAGTTGTCTGAAATTTTTAATTTGTTTTGTATTATTATTATTATTTATATCACTTGCTGAAATAAAAGTATTTTAATAATTTAATTTGTGACATATTAATTGTATTGGTGTAATTTTTTTAATTTTTGACATTAGTAATATTGGTGTTATTTTTTTTTAAACAACCTCAATTCCAAAATATGTTTTTGGGAAAGGCAAATGGGACACTTTGTTCACGAGTGTGCAAGATTTGTCACTTAAGCATTTCCTAATGCTTAACCCTTTTTTTTAACAAAAAAATAATTTCCTAAGTGACATATTAAAAAAATAAATTCCTAAGTGACATACTAAAAAAAAAAGCATTTATCACTACAAAAAAATGAGAATAGGCAACACTAAAGATTGCAACACTTACAGAAATGTTACTCTTAATAATCTAACGCAACAATACTTATTTGTTACCTTGAACTAAAGTAACAGAAAAAAAGTGTTGCTCTAGACTATATAAGACAACGGTCGCTTAAAGTGTTATCTTTTTCTTGTCTAAGACAACAAATATAATAATTGTTGCATGAAAAAATAACAATAACAAAACTATTGTTTGAAAAATGTAACATTAATATCTATGTTGCCATCTATAGCAACATTTATATTAAAATGACAACATATATATATATACATATATATATGTATGTATGTATGTATGTATGTATGTATGTATGTATATATATTTATATATAAATATATATATATATGTATATACATACATACATACATACATACATAAATACATATATATATATATATATATATATATATATGAGCAAGTTTGGTAGAGTTGGTGGGGAACTCACCTTGTAACTCTGAGGTCACAAGTTTTCGAGCCCTACTAACTACTAAATGCTTGGGAGTGACAACATTTTTGAATTATCTTCTTAGATGGCAACATTTTTCATTTGTTGTCTTTGTTAAAGTGTTGCCTTATGTATCATTTTACCTAAGCTTTTAAAATTGTTGCCTTTGAATAAAAATGTGTTGCCTTATGAATAGACAACGGGGGCATAAATTACGCCTCATATGTGTTGTCTTAGCTACAAAGCAACACTTTTTTTATATTAGGCAATGGTTTTGCATTGTTACCTTTGCTTTATTTTGTTGTAGTGTATATTTCGAAAGACATTTATTAATTCAAACAATTTGTGCAATCATGTACTATATATTTGAACTAAGAAAACCATTAATAATTTAATAATAATTTAATAACAAGAAGAACGAAATACATTTTTGGTTGCCCTTATATGCACCAATAAGTACACCCTTAATTCATAGAAAACTACCCTTACTCTATAGAATACTTCAGACAATAATAACCTACATTAATAGACCCCGATAACCATAAGTACACCCTTAATTTAGAACTTCCTCGTAGAAGCATAATTTAACACTGTCATTGCTTTAATTTAAACAAGAGAAACTTCAAAACCCGAATTAATATCCAAACCTAACATACTCTAGACTTCGCTTCCGTCACTTGACACATCATTGTCGTTTTCACTATCATCTTCGCTTTCGTCTTCTTGACTTGATGCAACATCATCGCCTTGTTCCCAATCCCAATCTTCATTTGATTCAGGGGTCACATATCCCTCATCTTCACCATTCCATTCATCCGCCGAAGTTGGCTCCCAACTGCTCTAAAAAAAAAAAATTCCTTGTCCATACCTTTCCAGCAAATTCCAACATTATTTTGTACTCATCTGGGTAGTCACTATTTTTGAAGGGGTTGGCAGTGCAAAGAGCAAGATGGGCACTAGGGTCATAACCATTTTTTTGTAACATCATAGACTTAAACTGAACATATTTTTGCTCATATCCAAAGCTGCTTAAGCGATATGTTTTAGATAAATCATCATGAGAGAAGCCAACCCACTCCATAGTTAAGATGGGACTTTCAAGGTGTTTTGTGGGGTCAAAGAATTTCCTACCCAACACTAACAAACCCCAGACACTACGATCATTTTTGTTTTCTTCTATATTTTCTTGTACCATGAGTAGCCAATTCTCCAATGGCATGAAGAACTCAAATACCCTTCTAAGGAAACGATAAAAGTGGGGAAAAATAGAGCAATTAAGTAAAGTGCGTCTTAGGTGAGCTAGGTTAAAGCTAAAGCATGTCTTGCAATAATTTAGGAGGTAAAAATGTAACAATAGGCCTCTTTCCTAAACTCTCTAGCCTTCCCGAGTGACATAGGTGTTAAGAATGGATACTCGAGATGACAAGTAATACCTCCGACAGCACCAAACCCAAGGCGAGTTAAAGTACTTAGTTGGTGTCCTTGTAACATCAATTTTTGACGTTGTAGAACATAATGAGTTCCAATTAGGTACTTAACGTCATGTTGGCCTTTTTCATCCATTTGATTGAGTAAGTCCTCCAACTGTGCCATAGTCACCTCCTCTCTCCTTTGCCGAATTATTTTCTTAGGCACTCATCTCATCTCCTTAATTGCCATCTTAGAAGTAATCATGCCTTCCTCTGCCAAATAACATGAAAAATTAGTATACTATAAATAAATTTAAAAAATTAAATTTATAAGATGATGGAAGTACTTAACAAAATACCATACTAAATTATACCTTTGGGGTGCACACCACGTTGTAGAGGTAAAACAAGTGAAATCAAGCACTATATTTCTTACTTTTGAATACTAAAATATATTCTACAATCACTTTTTTTTTTGTTTTACTTTTTTTTTAAAAAAAAAAATTTATGAGGAATTTCTATTATGACTTTCTATGCCTATTTACTAACCATTATATAGATGTGTTTGAGTATGAGTTATGAGTACTATGACCTACTTTTGCTAACATAAAGACAACTATCTCAACCACCTAATAAATGTATTATGATTGAAAACATTTTTACAAGCCTAATATTTTCTTTTGCACTAACAATCTTCTCTTGCAATAAATAGATAAACACAGAAATATATTTAACAACATGCACAAGATTTAATTCGTATAACTTTAGGTTACTTCACATTATTAGACTAACGTTAAATATTAATAAACAATTGTAAGAGGAAAATCCTCAAAACTATAACTCTCACCTCACATTAGAAGTACAGTAAGAAAGCTATGATGGTTTGTTTGTTGTTTTTGTAATAATAGCCAACAATAGCACTTATCTCCAATTGTAATGAATGGTTTATAAATGTACTTAATTTTTTTGTTGTTGTTTAGTGCAACAAAGAAAGGAGTGATAATAAATGGTACCCTTTGAGACTGCAATGGTAGGTTGAGTGGGATGGGAAGATAACCTTAAGTGGGAAGTGCTATAATATTAATATCAGTAAATCCAATATTTTTAGACTATAGACAACCAATTATTAATTATGCGAATACAATATGACAAAAAATAGTAACACTATACAAACGGCAACTAGATTAATTCGATTAAATTTTATAAGACAATCTTTCTTATATGGAAAAGATAAGTTAGTTAAAAGTTCCATCGCATATAAAGATAATTACATAACTCAGGAATAAATTCAAATCAGTTACTTTATTATAAAATAAATACTTAGCCGACCTTCAAACAATTTGATTATAGCTATGAAGGGACTTGGATAATAGGATTACATTCTAGAAATACAAACGCCACAATGAAGATTCTCTAATCAAATTATTACATTATACCCGGTACATAAATAAATTTGGAAATTTAGTTAAAGAATTAATAAATGGTAATCTATTAAAAAATGAAATAGAATTTGGGCACACCTAATAACATAGATTATAAACCATGGAGGTGTATGTGTATTCATTAATGAAATGTATGAACCAACTCATAGGTGATCAACAAATAGTAGTTAATCTTTTTTTTTTTTTTTTTGAAGAAATAGTAGTTAATCAAATAATTAGACGATAGTGGTTACCAACGTCAAATAATAATACTTTATATAAATAATAAAATGAAATCCAAATACATAGAAAAAAATAAAGCAAGTATTAAATAAAACCCAAAAGAAAAAAAAATAGAAAAAAAAACTACAGTATTATTAAATGAAATCTCCAAAGTAAGCTCAAAAAAAAAAAAATGAAATCTCAAAATAAGAAAGTACCAAATAAAAAATGTGAGAGTTGGGGCTTGAACCTGGGTCAAAATGAGGAGGGGTAAAACCTATATTCACCCACTCTAACCACTAGACCATGTTAATATTTTTGATACATTGCATATCTGTATTTTATTTATTTCTTTTTACTGCATCATACAAGCAAAAAAAAAGTAGATAATGTTTCAATGGTGCTCATAAAAATACTTTACTTTTACTTTTGAAATAGCTACAATTGTACTATTTATTTTATAGGGGTGTTTATAGTAAGTTAATGAATTCCAACCCCAAAATTCACAGACAAATATCTATTATTCTATTATGAGTTAATGGCAAAGGGATATATGGTTAGTAATGTATAGTCACTATCACACAGTTGCATTTTCCCAAAATATATACTCCGTATATAGTCACATACATGCACTTATTGCTCACAATACTTTACTAGTCCCTATGTCTTTTCATCTTTGAGCCTTTTGGCCAAATATTATAGTCCTAAAATAATCATCTCATTTGCATGAAAATACCCTCCAATTTACTTTCTCTCTCTACATTTTAATAAATCCATGTGAATTAAACTTTCAAATGTACTTATACTACTTTCTCTTTCTTAATTCTCGTGGAGGGAGTTCTCGTAAGATTTCCTTTTAATTACCTTAACAATTTTAAAATCAAGAAATTGGAGGTAACATTTATGCTTAAGAAATGCATATGAGCAATTATGCACTCATTAGAGATTTATGTTTGTTGACTTTTGTTTTTTAATGTTTATGCACAAGGGTGAAAGGGTTAGTTTCTCTTATTGGTTATATCAAAATTATGTTCCAAATTAAAGTTTTGTTTTCTCTGAATTATTTATTTTTTGAATAGTGTAACAAGTGAATAGTTATTTTGGTATATGGAATAGTTGCATTAAAACTTTGGAAGTAGATAGGTGACAAAGTTCAATACAACTAAATAGAAGAGGAGAAAAGAAGTACACACCCTTGAAAAATACATGCAAATAAATCATTTCAAAATTTTCATTATTACGACCTCTCTCCCTTTCTCTTTCGTCACCAAGGTTCAATTTCACAACTCAACATCTTCAAACACTCCAACTTTCTTTCTCTCTCGAATCTCACTCTCTAGTAAGATTAGGGAGTAAAAACCAAAATGGCAGACGACAAAACGATCTCATGGGAACAATCTGGAGAAATCATCCACAGAGTTTCCAAACAATTCAAAACTCGAGAGCAAATCCTCAAGTTTAAGCAACTTTGTATGACTTATAATTTGATAGACCAATTAAAATGCAACAATTTATATTGTATGACTTATACAGTTAAAATTATCTATGTACATTTATATACAACTAAAACCCTAGACCCTTAACCCTAAACCCTTAGATTATTTGACATAATGGTACTCTTTGAGACTGCAATGGTAGGTGAGTGGGATGGGAAGATAACCTTAAGTGGGAATTGCTATAATATTAATATCAGTAAATTCACTTGAATTACTAATTCACCCATTCAGTGAACTTATTAATTTAAGTTTGCATACTAATTCAATGTACACATGGAATGTTCATAATTCTAATAATATTTCTATAAGTATTTGTTGTGAAAATCCAATATTTTTAGACTATAGACAACCAAGTTATTAATTATGCGAATACAATATCACAAAAAATAGTAACACTATACAAACGGCAACTAGATTTATTCGATTGGGAGGTATTTGGTCATAACATATAGCAACTAGATTAATTCTAGAAATAAAAAAGTTTCAGACACAACATAGTAGTAGTTTCCTTGAGATAGAGTTATGCCTCGCAGGGCCAAAATATATCTCCTTCACTTCAAACCGAAATAGATGACCTTCGTTGTTTAGAGGGAGTAGTAACGGTTAGTACCCTACATCTTAAAATTAATACCAGGAATAGGGAAACACGAAGCAGTACGAATACATGTTAATACAATTACAATTTCAATTGCTATTATAAAGAAATATAAATTCAGGAAAGCGTCCAACAAAAGTTCAATATTGTTGCTCCGATTGTAATGGGATCAGTTTTGGCTGGGGCTGGCAATAATGGATTGGAGATTTAATCGTAATTCATTTTCTTCCGAGAATACATCCTCGACAAGTAGCTTGAGCCTAGCTTTGGGAATGGAAACCTGCATTGAAATTTTAAGAATTGAATAAAACAAGCCTATATTAGACTAAACATAGAGCACAGCATGAACACTCTACAAATCCATAGGTCCGAGATTACCGTTCTAGTTTTAGCTGCAAAGCGTTCACAACACAGCTTCACATAGCGCAACATCAAGACTCCACACACCTTGCTGCATAACGAGAATTGCATACTGATCAACTATTAAGTGACGTGCAATTTTATAAAGTAAATTTATCAACTATTGTACTCACGTATCTGTTTGTTGGGGGATTTCCAATTGCTTTAATTCCCACAATGGCATGTCATTAATCAACCAGGAAGGATCCACACAATGTAACATCACATCAACAGCTTGTATCTAAAAGGAGTAGGGGTTTAAAATTAGCCATTTAAATTTGACATAAACGAAAGAGAGTAAAGAATGAGGTCTTACCAATTCCCTGATTGTAGTCTGATGCTGGACCAATGCATTCATGAAGAGGGAGTCAATCACCCAAATTGTTTTATGCTGGAGGGCAAAGGAAATACACCACCAGTGCTCTTTCTCCAACACTGGAACAAACACCTAATATCACATGTGAATATGGTTAGACATCAAGTATCATAGGCATTAGCATTTGATAGAAACTTGCAACAGAATTTTGGCAAGATTCAAATATAGAATATCGTCACATTATTATCATTACCACACAAACATCGTTTGTCTTGGTTGCACTTAAAGGCTTTGACCATCTGTTTCCAAGCAAATCCAAACCATGCTTCCTAGCCTTCACTTGAGCCTGAAAAATTTGTTAAATCAACTTAAAATGCCTCTTACAATATTATCTTAAAACATTAACAATGAAAACCAAACAGAACCAAACACGTACTGCGAAAAAATGATCAAACATAACTCTCTTAGTCAACCCTTTGTATTTCAATGCCCATTTCTTATTGTATAGAACAGCAGCCAAACCCACATATCCGGTTGATACTCTACCATTCATGTGAAGGACTTCATAGCAATCCTTCTGTGATGCTTCATATCCATCACACCTAATAACTATAGGCACAGGACTGTGAAATACAAGGTTAGAAAAGCCATAACAGTAAGTATAAGGGACTACTATCGAAATCATGCAAAACTAAAGGTAAGGGAGGAGAGCGATGCTTACGTACCAAACTCCTTTCCGCTTGTTTTCACCCCATCTCCTAATGAAGTGAATCACATTTTTCTGAAATGCTGACAACTTCCGATATTCTACAGTAACACCAACTGAGGCCCTTGGAGATCTACACTCCAATTCCTCCTGCCTGGTGTCATCCGCCACTTCTTTCGCTATAGAGCTTACAGCTAACCTAATAGGGACTTGAACACCACCCACATTGATTGTACTTTCTAAAGAAAGTAACCTATCCTCAAGCGACTTTTGTTTCGGAGGTGACTTCGGGCTAACTCCGGCCACCTCAGGCTTCTCAAAAGCTTGTGCCTTTTCAACAGGTATTTCCTCCGGCTTCTCAAACAGTTGTGACCTTTTTTCAGCAGGGTCTACCTCCGTCTTCTCAAATGGTTGTGACCTTTCAGCAGGGGCTACCTCCGGCTTCTTAATAGGTGTTGACCTATTGGAATGGGATGGCTCAGCCTTGTTTTGGAATGGGTGGTTACGCATGTCTTCATAGCTGTCAAACCCAAACAATTTGGTAGTATTATGCTGTTCATCAGGGGGAAGGTGTGATTTTTCCTCCCAATTCATGGCATCCTTCAGCCCCATTATCATATAGCAAACCAATTTCTGCAACTCCGGGGCAATCAGGTTCACAACCTGCTTACAATAACAAATAACCTTTTACCACACAAAATGTAATATAGCATATGACATTGTTTGAAATGGACTAGCAATAGCTTTCACCTCGGTTGCAACTTCCCCTACCATCCCGAGGAAGCCTCGGGTGCGCATTCCCATAAGCAGCATCAACAACCTGTTGGAAAAGGAAAAAATTATCAAATGAGTGAATAAGGAAGTAGCCATGTAACATTCATCCAAAACTAAGCAACTTGTAGCTATGATGCAATGTAAAGGTCTACCATTTCTATAATGATTTATTTAGATTTACATTAATAAAACACACATTTGACAATACATTAATCATTCACATACCAAAATAATAATACATCAACTACTAAGGATCAGCATACTCACACCAAATTCACCATAGTCCTCAGTTGTAGTCCTATCAGTTTCCACCACACGGCGCATCAACTCAGAATCCCACACCATCACCCGTGAAAAAACATTCCATTCAACTGGTGGTCTTTTCAAGCGATCCAAGTAAAATATTTGCACACCAATACAAAATGTTAATGCATAGGAGAATGGAATTAGAATATTTGTTGTATAAGTAGGAGATTACCGCCAAAAAAAGTGTACACCCTCCACAACCACCAGCATATCCCTTGGCATTAAACCTTTTCAGAAACATCTTAGCATAATCTAAGAGCCAGTCTAGAACAAATTTGCACCAATCGTAAATCCTAGCATTAGATGCTACTGTGACAGCGGGGAGCAAGCTCGTTGCAAGGACACTACCATCTGTTGTGGGGCACAAAATCATTCCCAAAGCAGCAACAAGGAAAGTCGTCTGAAATTTTTGTATATCATCATCACTACCCAATGGTACAGCTACACCATTTTCGACCCTAGGACCTTCTACATCATTCATAGCATCATCTATACAGATTTTGACAATGGACCTAACATTCCCATCTTCGTCAATATTTTCTTGAAGAGTACCATATCTAATAACAACAACATCAACCAACTCAGGAGTTGCTTCTCCAACACCTTCAACATGTGGGACTTGTAACGGTCCAGTAGGCAACCCAAGAACACAATTAACTTGGATGGGGCACAAAGGGAACTCCATATCACCAATAACAAGGGCATCGCGAACAATCCTTGACATCAACCAATAACATAGTTGACGTGGGAGGAAATTTAGCTTAATTTCCAACAACCCACCGAAACCCATTCCCTTGACAGCCATAACTCTCGTCTCATCAAGCTCATTTATCATTTTGCTCCAAGCATCAACCCTACAAATTACATTGGAAGGCTGCAAATGGTAGAGCGAAGACCATAAGTATAGCTGTTTTCAGTAAATTTAGAAACATTTTTCTCTATAATATTTAGGAACGTTATATCTAGCGAGTACCTTATAAGAGGAAAAAAACAAACACAAATATAAGTGCGTGCTTACCCTATTTCTTGCCCTTTGTTTTTGAGTGTAAATGACCAGGCCTTTATTACGCACTCTATCACCAGCAGATATCTCAAATTTAGGGTCAGCAATCTTGACCTCCGTACGACCAATTTTTTTTTTTTTGGATGAAGAACTCTCAGGAACATCAACCTTTCCAGACCTTCTACTCTCTGATCTCTTACACGTCTTAGACGCAACCATTTTTTTCTTTCCTCTTTTAGGCTGCTCCGAGGACTCTGAGGAATCAGTAGCATAATCTGAACTAGAGGAACTGCTTTCCTGGTCATCGTCGCTTTGATCATGTTGAGCTTTACTACATTGGTTGCATTGAGATTCTTCTTTTTTAGCTTTCTTCGTTGTATTAACTGGTTTAACAGCCATCACCTGCCTCAAGTTCCTCTGCAAATATAGTGCACATTTTCCAACCAATTAATTCATATATTAGTCAAAATATGAGTAAACGTATAAATCAACAGAATTTAACAAGAACTTACCCCCCATCTACCTCTACAAGTGACTTTCTTTCCCATGCTCTTTGTCATTGTTACAAGAATTCAACACAAAGCAAACCTACACATACCAAGAATAATATAATCAACCTCCAAATCTGAAAAAGATCGTAACAAGTTTGGGCTTGATGTCATACAAGGTACCAAGTTTAATTTTAACAAGAGAACGTTTCCAATACTTTGGGTTTGGTTTGGTTTACAACTTATGTGTCTTTGATAATCTGAACTTATTTGTTTTGCAATTATGTTAGTAGCTTTGATGGCACTAGGTGTTGCAATTTTGCATATAGTGTAGCAGCAATGGTGAATTGCAACACCATTTGATATTAAGTACTTCTACTTGATATAGTGAATTGCAACAATGCCCAAACAAAGCATCAACAACATGTTAAACGTATCTATGTGCTTATTATTTCAATTACATAGAACATATATGTATTGAATTTTGAATTGTGGTCAACATGCTTGTTATTTCAATTACACACAACATGTTAGTATTGAATGTGCTTGTTATTTCAATCACATTTGATATTAAGTACTTCTACTTGATCACTTATGCTAATCGAATGTCTTATGATGCTGTTCTTTCTAATGGGGTTGTTCCTCTCCGGCCTTTTTGTTTTGTTTAGTAGCTACTTGTACTTGTTGATCAACAACTTTTGCTTATAATTAGGTGAATCAATTGTTTATGCATCCCCTTTCCCTTTGTGAAAAGATATTTTTTGATCACATATATTTATGATTTCATTATGTCTAGTATCACTAATTGAATTGCTAGCCCCACAAAACAAAAAACACATAATTTTTTCAAATCCTTAAAATCCTTACATGCCAATTTAACGACAACCTTAAAATCCCTAAATTGAACTCATGAGCTAATGGTGTAGGTACTTCAACTAAAGACCTAAATTTAACTAAACTGAGCGATTGAGCTAATTGTTTATGCATCCCTAAATTCTATGTTCTTTAAATTGAGCTAAATTCTAGAATTATTTTTGTAAACCTACCTTTGATTTGTCCTTATAAAACCTGTTAAATGATATATAAATGTTCATTAAGTATCTTTATTGCCTCTTTATGAGGTATGACTAATACTCGAGTGTGGGTTGACCGGTGTCCTTAAACTAGTATGTACATTGTGTTGGATGATTGTATTTATCAATTGACGAAATAATCATCCTTTGATTGCTATAACAAAATGATAAGAAAACACGTCGATAGAAAATTCTGGTATGAGACAATATGACTATCGTACCATCTAAAACTTGCTCAACACATTCCATATTATATAAATGTCTATACAACTGTGTATGATGTGACTTAAACTAAAGATAGGTCAACTTCACATGTTAAAATATACTTTAAACAAGTGAATCTGAAGATATACTTGTTAGAAGTAGACAGTTTCATATAATTTCTGAAACTCTTAAAATAAAGAAGAGTTGATCCATGATCATGTGCAAATTCATACAGCTGATAAATAAAGGCATAAGAAAGTGGTTATGTTGTATTGTTTTTTTGCAGAAACATGTGAATGATAAACAAATACAGTGAGCAATTTTCTAACCCTTATTCTTCAATAGTGCTGGTTAGAATTTCAACAACCCTAAATCAGCCACAGGACCAATTTATCCCAATTTGACACAAACCCTAAATTGAACTAATGGTCTTCAACTATAACCCTAGAATTGATTTACCACAATCAAGAAGTCAGATGGAGCAATTGTAGTCAATTACAAACACAAGTGCTTCTAAATTAATCAAATGCTTCTAAACTGACAAGTAATCAAACAAAATATACAACAAATCACTAATTTACACATAATTATACGAAAATGGAATGCAGAATTCAATTGAAATTTACCTTGAACAAAAAGAGATGAATGCTCAACTCTTTGCTCCCACTTTGTCTCTCTTTGCTGGAACTTTCTCTCTTGCTCGAACTTTCTCTCTTCCGCTCGCACTTTCTCTCTCTTGCTCGAGCTTTCTCTCTCTTCTGCTCGCACTTTCTCTCTCTTGATCGAGCTTTTTCTCTCTTGCTTTACCAAAAGTGGAAAACTGTCAGTCCAAATTTTAGCTTTCATTGCGCGCGTAATGAAATTTTCGTGAAAATTTCATCTCCAGCATAACGGCCTCCGTTTTCCTTGCCCAGCTGACCCCTAACTTAAGTGGCGAAAATACAATTTTACCCCTTCTTGCTACCAATTGGACCCTCACCACTTTTGATTAGTCCTGCCTCCTCTCACTCATGGGCATCTTTTTGCCCATGAGGAGAATTTAATGAAAATAAATGAAATTTTGGCTTCCCACTCATGAGCATTATGAGGAAATCCTCAAATGCCCATAGCAATGGCAAAAATTCATTGCTACAGTAATGTGGGCCATGGTACCAAATCAGCCAAAAAAAAACTACACATATATTAAAGATAATGTAATGATAGTAATATTTTAGGAGAGAGAAAAAATAGGAGAGAGAGTGGTGTGGGTTTTTTTTTTAGCCCATGAATGTGTGAGAAGTTTTAGAAAAAAAATGCCCATGAAAAAAAGTGGAAAAGAGGAGTGAGAAAGTGGGTAGAGAGATAATGTCATTTTTTTTTTTATTTGCCCATGAATGAGAGTGGTCTAAGAAGCCGAGGGAGCCCCACTTTATCAATGAGTTTTAGTTCTATACTTCGTAATTTCGTATAATGAACAAATTAAGGGGCAAATTTGTAATACTTCGTACTATTTTCGTTAATTTTTAGTTGCAATAAAGTAATATTTTATTACAGTATCCACAATGGTTGTGCATAAGGACGCTAATAATTTCTAAACACTCTGTAAATGCTAGCTACATGCGAAGCTATAACCTCTTGTAGTTTCACTCCACCCAACACATTAGTTTAATATTATTTATGTATTTTTTTATATATATAATTTATTTATTACAAAATGATATAACTTACCATTGTAGAGGTTGTAGCTTAAATCTTGTAGCTTGGAGATTAATGATGTGGCAACCTAAAACTAGATGTACATGTAGCTAGCCACTGTGGATGCTCTAACCGCTATTAGCCTATTAGTAGCAGTTTTATGCGTGAACAATGAAAAAATACGCATTTATTTACAAGTTTGACATTTGATAAACAACAATTGTTAATTTGTTATCAAGAAGATAAGTTTTATTTTCACTAAGAATAGGGTTGAATTTAATAAGTAAGATGTGGTGTTCAATTCACCTAATCTGATACAAATCTTTCCCTATTATTGATTTGTGATCCAAGTGCACAAGTTTTACCATGCAATCGTGCACTCTATGAACATGTTACATGAACATGAACAAAAATCAAATTGGTTTTGCGATGTAACTTCCTTTAAGCTTGTAATAACCCCAAACTCTTAATCTCTTACGTGTATAAGGTAGTTCACTTATTCTTATTGAAAAGATAGAAGCTAAGTAATGATGGGTTTAAAGGCTATTACTTAAATGCAAATGACACTTGAATTCTAAGCACAGTATTGTTCTTAAAGTATTGGCAAGTAGTAACTTTTATTCAAATTTCAGTTTTGCCAAATAGCAACTTCAGATTGCATAGTTTGCCTTATAAACAGACCTCTGTATCAAGAATCATTTTCGGCTATATTACCAATAAGATACTACCATCCATGCATAGTTGCATAATAAGAACCTTTTATTTGCCTATCACTCTCAAAACTTGGTCATGGTCTTGGATTACCTCCGTTTATTCTTCCATTATGAACCAGTTAGCTCGCAAATGCATCAGAATTCTGATAAATGTTTGTTAAATATGTACATCATATGCATTCACAATCTAAGCACTCAGCGTGTAAGACCTCTTACAGAGTGTTTAAGGGTCCATGGAAAAGTTCGTAAATCACTAGATCAGTTCCTGCAATAATTATTAGCATTTCTTTGAATTGAACTCTATATAATCACACTTTGGATACTGTTGATAAGTATTAGGTGACTCGTACTTCGTAGCTTTGTCCGCCCGATCGGGCGGACATTGCCCGGTCTGACCGGGCGGTGGGGGTTGGATACGTTGAAGCATTCGTATGGAGTTTTCTTCTCGCGCCCGATCGGGCAGACCTTGCCCGGTCTGACCGGGCGGAGAAGGAAAAATGCGGAGACGCGGATTTTACGATTTAAAGTTATCTTTTATGTTATCTTTTTGCCCAAGTATCTTTTATTTTAGGGATTAATATAAAACCTCCCTAATATTAGTATAAGGGTTAAGAGAGAGAGAGTGAGAGTCGTTCTTGAGAAATACAAGAATCATCTTTGTAATCTTTGCAGTTTATAGTGAAATCATTCGATCTCGGTGCCCGTGGACGTAGCTATCACATCGATAGTGAACCACGTAAATTCTTGGTGTTGTTCTTATTGTTTGCATTGAATTTCTTTATTGTTTTCTTGTTTGTTTTCGACCTTTGCTTCCGCTGTCGCACAACAATTGGTATCAGAGCCAGGTTCAATCCTTGGAGAGTTTCTTGAAGATAACAATGGCAGGAGATTCAACAATAAGAATTGAGAAGTTTACCGGGAAAAATAGTTTCGGGCTATGGCAAATTAAGATGAAGGCTCTGTTAAAACAACAGCAGATATGGCGTCCGTTGGCTCCAAAGAGTACTACTTCGGAGTCAGAAGATGGACCGACTGACCCGCAGTTAGAAGTTATGGAAGAGAAGGCACACTCTACCATATTACTTAGTCTTGATGATCAAATCATCACGGAGGTGGCTGATCAGGAAACGGCGGCTGGATTGTGGCTGAAGCTGGAGTCATTGTATATGACTAAGTCGTTGACCAACAAATTATTACTGAAACAGCGGTTGTTTAGCCTCCGGATGCAGTCAGGTACTTCCTTACGGGAACATCTAGAAAAACTTAACTCTATTTTGCTTGATTTACGTAATTTAGATGTTAAAATTGATGATGAGGATGCTGCGTTGATTTTACTTGTATCTCTACCGTCTAGCTTTGAGAATTTTGTAGAGTCTTTTGTTGTTGGTAAGGATTCTATAACCTTAGAAGAAGTGAAGGCAGCACTTCATACTAGGGAACTCAGAATGAAAGCTACGAGTGATAATGGGGATAATGGTAGTGGGTTGTTTGTTAAGTCCGGAAAGTCTAAAAAGAATAAGGGGTTTAACAAGGGGAACAATGCTGGGTCGGGTGCTGGAAACGGCAAGGATGGATCTAGTAAAACTACTACTAAAACATGTTATTACTGTAAAGAACCGGGTCACTTTAGGAATAATTGTCCGGTGAGGAAAAACAAGTCCCAGGCTGCTGTAGTTGAAGAGAAACCGAATGAGAGCTATAATTCAGAGGAAGATTTAGCATTAGTCAGTTCTGCTAGGTCTGATGATTTATCTGATAACTGGGTTCTAGATTCGGGGTGTTCGTTCCATATGTGTCCACGTCGAGATTGGTTTGATACATATGAACCTCGCAATGGGGGTATGGTTATAGTCGGTAACAATGCTCCATGTAAGGTCACAGGTATTGGTTCCATGAGGTTGAGGACTGTTGATGGGCGGAGGTTAACTTTGACTAATGTACGGCATGTTCCTGCTTTAGGAAAGAATCTGATTTCATTGGGTACCCTGGATGACTTGGGGTACAATGGTGTGTTTTCAGATGGGGAGTTGTGTATTTTCAGAGGTTCTGAGTTGGTACTTAAGGGTATCAAAAGGAACACCCTCTATGTTTTTGAGGGTGTTACACTGCCTAGTTCTGCGGTTTGCGCATCTGTATCTCACCAGGAGATGACTAAGATTTGGCACATGAGGCTTGGTCATATGGGGGAGAAGGGGATGCAGCTATTGTCCAAGAGGGGTCTTCTATCCGGGGTCAAGGTTGCCAACCTTGAATTTTGTGAGCATTGTGTGTTTGGTAAGAAACACAGGTCAAAGTTCAGCAAGGGTGCTCACATTACTGATGCAGTGCTCGATTACATCCATTCAGATTGCTGGGGTCCATCTAGAGTTGAAGGTATGGGAGGTTACCACTATTTTGTGTCATTTGTTGATGACAAGTCCCGATACACATGGCTTAGGTTGCTTAAGTCAAAGGATGAGGCCTTCAAAGTTTTCAAGCAATGGAAAGCTTTGGTGGAAAATCGACAAGGAAGGAAGATCAAGAAGCTACGAACGGACAATGGGCTAGAGTTTTGCAAAGACGAGTTTAATCAGTTCTGTGCAGATGAGGGTATAGGTCGGCATCATACTGTCAGGAAGACACCACAGCAGAACGGTGTAGCAGAACGGGTTAATCAGACACTGCTAGAGAGAGTTCGATGCATGCTCTCTAATGCAGGGCTTGGGAGGAGGTACTGGAGTGAAGCTGTGTTAACAGCTTGTTATGTCATTAATAGGGGTCCTCATTCTGGAATTGATTCCAAAATTCCGTTTGAGATCTGGAGTGGTAAGTTGCCTAATTTTTCGAATTTGAAGATTTTTGGTTGTGTTGCTTATTATCATGTTATTGAGGGTAAGCTGGATCCACGAGCCAAGAAGGGGTGTTTTGTTGGGTACGGGGATGGTGTGAAGGGGTTTAGAATTTTTTCACCTTCGGAGGGTCGGGTCATTCTTAGTAGGGATGTTACTTTCGATGAAAACACCATGTATTCAATTAAAAATGCAGAGATTTCAGATTTGAGAAGGGAAGGAGACAATTTATTACAGACAGATGGGGTACTTGAGGTACATCAGTCTACCATTGCTGATTTACCTCGGGTACAATATATTGATGATGATGCTGATGTTCCAGTGCCGGGTACTCCTGAACCTGAGATTACTCCTACTCATTCTAACTCTGGGGATGAGGTGGAGCAATCTAATCAGGGGTCATCTAGTCAACCTGACACCATTCTTGAGATGCCTAAACGAGTTATCAAGAAGCCTGTTAGATTGATTGAAGAGATGGAGGGAAGAAATTGCTGTGTTGATGCGATGACAGGTTATGCATTGAGTGTAGCTGATGATGTAGAGTCATTTGAACCTGCCACATATAAACAAGCAATTAGTTGTAGTGAGTCTGCGCAATGGCTTGCCGCAATGGGTGAAGAGATGCAGTCTCTTTACAAGAACAGAGTGTGGGAACTGGTAAAGGTACCGGAAGGGAGGAAGCTTGTGGGTTGTAAATGGATTTACAAGAAGAAAGAAGGGTTGTCGGAAACTGAGCAAATACGTTTTAAGGCTAGGCTAGTTGCTAAGGGGTTCAGTCAGGTAGAAGGGGTTGATTTTGTTGAGATATTCTCACCTGTGGTTCGACATACTTCTATCCGTGTGTTATTGTCAATTGTAGCACATTTTGATCTTGAGCTGGAGCAGTTGGATGTTAAAACGGCTTTCCTTCATGGCGATTTGGAGGAGGAGATTCTGATGAAGCAGCCCGAAGGATTCGAAGTTCCTGGAAAGGAACACTATGCCTGCAGATTGCTAAAGTCATTGTATGGACTTAAGCAATCCCCCCG